CACTACAGTATATTTACATAATAAGCTGCTGGAAATTCTGTCCACACACTGTGGGCGTTGAAATGCACAGTCATGTTAGAGCTGATGACATTATGTTTCCTAAAAGTTTTTTCTTAATCTTTGCTAAATATTATTTTATCAGCGGGTCTCTTCAGTGCTGACGTCACGGGTATGTTTAGGATGAGATAGATTCTTGAGAATGTTTGTGTAGCTGGAGTCATTTATTCAGGTGGGGTCTGATAGGGCTGTATTGTAAAAGAACCTTTGTTTGTTTTCCGATCATAGTCAAACACGACACACGTACAGGTTGTATTTAGTCACACGGTTGAGACCGGGTCGGCAGGCTAAAACGACAATTTCAGAACAACACATCAGGCAGTGTTATTCAGTTTCATTGCCGAGTGACCCTGTGAAAACCCTCTGACTTCCTCATCCTCTTATGTAGTCACCTCAAATGCGAGAAACTGGTCTGGACTTGAGGCATACTTCCCCAGAAAAAAAGCCCTATTCGAAAAAAGTAGACGGATTTCCTTGAGCTGGACAAAAAGGGGATTCCACACGGAGATGGAAAAATTACAGCAAAATTCCCTTTCTTGATTTTGGATGGATATTTGCCCATACTTCCTGCATAGGCATATGTGTAGACATTTTCAAAAATGTTTTTTTTTTTAAATTTTGCACTGTTGCCAGATTATGTAGTGAACTTCACTGAAAGGAAACCAGTAGAATAAGAGCTACAGAGACCCCATAGAGTCCCACCATTGATGTTCAGTGACTCCAGAATCCACTTTCAAACTACATCCTTGGGCTGGTGGGATAAGTTGCAATTGACATTTTGTGCTGGACTTCAGAAACAAGCCTGGCTTTCATGCTGGTGTTTGAACACTGGGGAAATCACTCGCAAAGGTCACTGAGCCCATTTCCTTTCTTTCCTCTCCATGCATCTAAAGACCTGTAACAGCCCCTTTCAACTGCACTTCAGTTACTGGCAGACATATTCAAATTTCGATATAGGAAGTGAAAGAAGGTGTAGGTAACAAAAGAGCAAATATGAGCCAAGAGTGTGTTTTTATTGCAGCTTTTCCTTGTTTAACCACGGCAGTTTTAACATACCAAAATAAAGACAGGAGTCATAACGACACAGCTGGCTGATTCAGGACTGCACACAATAATCAAGCAATACCCTTGCTCTATTTTTTATTTTCATTCAGTTTTTCATCAATAAATCAATTACAGATAAAAACCAATGAGTTCCTGACATTCCTTACTCAAGCGTCCTTTGACTTTTTAAAACGCAGTACTACTACATGTCTCTGAAGTCCTTCTTCTCCATCCCACAGACGATCCACAGAGAAAACATCCCTCTGCTCCACAAATGTTTCAAAGAGATGTAGTCCACCACCTACACCAAAGTAGTGGGATTTGGTGGCAAGGTAGACCAGACCATCTGGTGCCAGCAGTTTGTGCAGGGTCTCGTGTAGAGCAGGGTAGTACGCAGTGTTGTAGATAGTCTCTGATGTGAATATAAGATCATATTTGGGTGGTGGATCTGCCTTTAGAACCAAAGCGAGAAATGTGCTCCAGTCACCAGAGTAAAAATGACACCTGGTTAGTAATGGTTGCTGGGCTAAGTCTATGGCTTGTTTTTTAGGAGGTGGGCTGTTTTCTGTGATCTCCTTCTGCCCTTTCGCCTTCTTTTTAGAACCATCTTTCTCCTTCATTTTTTCCTTTCCACTCCCTTCTTTGTCATCTTCACTGTCTACTTCATCATCCTCTTGGCAGTTTAGCATTACATTTGGCACTGTGAGCTGTTCAATGACTGTACTGTTATAATCTTGGAAGTGGACCTGACTGGCTCCCCTCTTCAGAGCCAGTATTCCCAGCAGCCCTGCGCCACAGCCCAAATCCAAAACCGCCTTCCCCCCAAAGGTCTCTCCATCTTTCTCAATCAACTCCAGAAGGTCATACGTGCACTCCCACACCTTCAGCCCTCCCTCGTACACACCAGAGATGAGGTCAGACTTCTGCTCCGCTGTGCGTGAAAGAATTTTTTCTCTGTCCTCTCTCTCTGAGGCAGTCTTCTCAAAAATGGTCTCATTGAGGAAGTGCAGAGGAGGAAGAGTTCCAACTGTAACCGTTTCAAAGACGCCATCCATAAGGAGGAACTGTGGATCGGATGGCAGAAAGTGCTCGCTGGCCTCTTTTACTGGTTGTGCTGGTTTGGGGCCGTCCTCTACCTGCAAACAGAAAGCAGTATGCACAGTTGATAATAAAACCACTCGCCTCAGCAATGTATGTGGGTGATGGTCACATGTTGTGACATAAGCAAGAGTTTTCCGTTATCCTTTCACAAAAACACAGCTTTATTTATTAAAGTTAGTGTTAATGAGTAACAAATATTTTGGTATGTAGTGTTCTAACGTTTTTCGTTTTCTGAAGTGGAGCACAGGCGGCACAGTGGTGTGGTGGTTAACTGTCTTCCTGTTGTCTCACAGCAAGAAAGTCCTGGGTTTGAAACTCCACACACATGGCTTTGTGTGGACTTTTATGTTAGGTTAATAGGCGATTATAAATTTTGCTGTAGGTGTAAAAACAAGCACGCATGTTTTTTTTCCTTTCTATGTTAGTCTTGTAAGAGAATGGTAGCCTCTCCACAACGCACCCTTCCTCCTGCCCTGGTGAAGCTGGGATAGGCTCCAGCTGCTCCACAACCCTGCTTCAAGCAAAATATGGATGGATGAAGTGGGGAATGCAGGAAAAAAGATGGAAATATGTCATAACTAGTGGTGATGTTAAAACCGCTTTGATAGTTACACTGAAAATGGGGGATGGCTTGATGTTACTGTAAGAATGGCTAACATCTGCACATAAATGTTGCGAAATCTTCTTTGGGACCTATAAAACGCAACAATGTCAGTTATTAAAACATAAAAGCCTGTTGTTTGGTTTAAAGTTAATTAGTCTATTCAAATGTTGTAACAAAGATTTACTCAATTCTGCGTGTACATACCAGGTATAGTATGCTTTTACCACTGTGATTTGTTTTCTTGTAATAATGATGTAAAAGGTCAGTTGACTGATAAATCACTCAAACATGAGAATGTTATGCATCAGCCATGTGAGTCACCGTGACTGAAATGACGTTTGCTTCTCTGGACTGGTAGGTGTAAATGCTCATGTAGTCAAACTCAGTAGAGCCGAACAGTTTAGATTTAAATGCCAGTAAAGTTTGTTGCATACCTCAGAAGTTTGGTGTCATACATAACAATAACAAAGCACACAGTACTTTAACAGTTTGGATTGTTTCTGCTTTAACATACCTTATCCTGTAATGTTAACAAGCAGATGTTAACAGCCTACGCTCTCTAGTGGATGCACACAAAATTAAATTTTTATTGCTTTTTTGAAGCTCATACGGTCAGAATTTACAGCATCATTTAATTGAACAGCATGTGCTTTAGTGAGGATGGATTTTTACCTTTGTCCCCTTTAACATAAGACAGGTTTATCTTTACAAATTAAAGCTAACTTTGGCTGCTCCCTCGTCACAAGGGGTCGCCGCAGAGTTTAGGGCTGCATGTTTGATTTGGCTTCTTTTTCTGTGGGATGTTTTTACTTGTAACCCCAAAGAGGATTTGTGCATTTCACTGGAATCAAACCACCAACCTTTGGTTTGTTAAGGGAATGCGCTAACCATTACACTGAAGCCCCTCTATACGTTTATCTTCACAATTGTTTTTGGACTAATCTACACTTTGATTTAATGTTAAGTCTTATCTAAATATAATTTTGACAGAGCTGGCGAAAAAAAAAGCTTCTATTTGCTTGTTTGTTTGTTTTTTTTAAAATCTAAATTATTTAGTCTACATTACATAAATGTTGCACAAAACACTTCTCATTTTTCTACTTAAAGACTTTAGGAATTATTTATCCTTTTTAGCAGTAAACTTGATGTATTTTTAATCAATATTTTTTCATATCAGCTTTTAAATATTTATTCACGTGTTTAGATGTAATCCATTCTAATGTACAGATCACAGAATATACTGAAATGTAGGCAAACCTAGGCAGATTTTGTCTGCTGTACTTGTAGTCAATTGCTTTATTACAGATGATTTTCCACAGTCAAAAAATAAACTATAATGTTCAAGAACCTTATTATTTTTGCTCTTTCGATGTTGCCCCGGGCTTATTTGTGATCCTTTGATATTTTTATCAAAGGATCACAAATAATGGGAAAGAATAGGAAACGAATAGGAAAGCAGTGCTGTTGTTACTACTTACATAAAGGCATTTATGACAGACAGATACATTTCTGAGGCTTTGTAAATTTTCTGCCTGCAGCCATAAATGTTATTCCCACACTCTCGCAGAGGGTCCAAGTCTAAACTTGCTTTACAGCACCGCAATTGCGAGCTTGAACGTCACTTCTGCTATTACTAGTTACGCGGCGGTACTTAGAGTACTCTGAGTAACATAAGCTATGGCACATCATAGGTAAGCTAATGTTACTCACAGATACGACAGCATGATCTTTATTTCCGTGCTGCAATTCATTTCCACCCACGTCTCCGGGGTCTGTTGTTTGTGCTGGAAGGTCGAAGTTAAAACAAAACGACATGCTGACTGACACCACTGTTCACTAAGTTTGAGGATAGAAGATTTGTATCACAGTTTCACACAGGTTCTACCGAAGGCTGGCTCAACATGGCATGCGTAGCTAGCAAGGCTGCTATAGATAAAAAAAACTACATGTCCCAAAAGTCTGAGGACCCCCCACCACCACCACCAGCACCACCAGTTATGCTATATGTTATATTTCAGTTATGCATGTAGCCGAATCGTTATGCATATGTGTACGTGTTATAACATAAAATACAGAAAATTCAGAAACATAAATGTCAAGTCCTGAAGAAAAATAACTGTTGAAATCACTTCCTGACTCAGACTACCACGATGCCGTTCGGTGGTGTTCCAGCGCATGCGCATTAATTGGAGGATTCCGCGCTTAACTGTCACAGGTCCGTGATCCTGCTCCTCCTCGCTAATATGTGGCTATAATCCCGTTTTTTGTCTTCCTTTTGAAAATGTTGACGGGAGGGGTGGTCTCGGTGGGGGTCTCGTCTTCATAAAACAGTGAGTAAAAAAGAAATGTTGTAAAATATCAGTAAAATGTGATGCACGGCGCGAGACGAATATTTGAAAAAGAGAGCAGTATGTGACATCCAAAAATAAGGGATTTGGGAGCGCTATGACTCACGGAGAGTATTCACAGCAACATGTCTTATGGACACATTGAGTGTTACTTTATTCAGGGAGGTGACAGCTATGGCTGATCGCCATGCAGTGGTTTTTGGCTTGCTTGTCATTAACTGCAGGTGACCAGCCTACTCCACAACAAAAATCATTGTCCCCCTCTCACCTTATCTAGCTGCCAAAAGCCTCCACCCAGACTCCACCCTGTCTGGAATGCAGCACAGCAAGACTGGTACATGTTGGAAACACATGTTCTTCTGGTTACCTGTGCATTTCTGTCGTATGTACCTGCAAATGCTCTGGCTCTTTCACTCACGCCTTTAGTCGTACCTAATGAAGTAGTTTAGGTGTCAGCTCTCTGAAACTGATATGAATAGCGGTCAAAACAAATTAACTGGGAAAAAGAAGTCCAAGTTGACTTGCTCTGAAATTCACCTATTGGTAAGTTAGACATTGCTCAACCGAGCTGATTAGGGCAGACGTGTTCTCTCTTTTTCAGCTGCTGTTAACTATGTATTTATTTTTCTTATGGGTAAGACTAAATGGAGTATCCTTGGGGCTTGGGTTGTTTGTTATCAACAAACTTATCATTTTCCTTTTGTGTTTCCAAATTGTGTTGAATTCCTTTTTTTATTATTCCTGTTGTACAAATTTGTGTTAGACATAGCAGCATACACATTCCTCACATTTTTTTAAGTCTTGCACATCAGGTTGGCAGAGGTTGGGAAGTGAGAGTTTACGATTGACTTTCATTAATCCTAATGTTTTCTTTCTTCTTGCAGGTGCTTGCATTTTACAAATGCAAAATGCGGTGGTGTTCAAGCTCTGCGTTTCACCTGCTGCGCTGTGTGCGGCTGCGGTTGTGTAGCAGGCGGGGACAGAACAGGCTTCCTTTGTGGATTAGGGAAATATGGGCTTATATGAGACTGCTGGCAAAATCACTCTACTTTAACTCGCTCACAGACTCAGATGTGGTGTTTGACTCAGTCTTTGAACCAGTTTTCCTGACTGTGGATTACGTCACCCGGTGGTTTGGTCTGGTGAGTGTGCTTTTAAATGGTTACGAGAAAGTTGTTGTTGTTGTTGTTGTTGTTGTTGTTTGTTTGTTTGTTTGTTTTTTCTGGAGACTACTGCAGTGATGGAAAATAAGGACAATAACCTTTTCGGAAAAATATGATCTTTCACACACAGGTCACAGTTGTTGTTTGTGGGATAATAACAACAAACAATGACATTTTTTTTGTGAACGTCTGATTTTGTTAACTACCGAAGCTCCTATGATCACAGTCCCCCTAACTTCAGATAATCATTATTGGTAGTGTCATATCAAGTCTGCACAATGAACATTACGCGGGGGCAATTCTCTTTCTTATTGGATAACAACAGATCCTCATTCATTAAAATGTTTCAGATCTGGGGTGTAGACACTCCTGACCTAAATACAAGAGGGTGTAGGCACATATAATCTCTTTGATAGTAGCCTGCACCAAGGGTTTTGACAGTAATGAAAAAAAAAAGTGTGTTCTTGGATGTAGCTTTAAATGTAGATCTAATGTGATTTCCTGCATAACTGCTCACATTGTCTGATCATTCTTTTTTCTTTAAGGTGTTTGTTTACCTGGTGGTGATACTGACCAGCTCCATCGTGGGGATAGCCTATGTGGTCTTGCTGCCTCTGATCCTCAACACTTACTCTCCTCCGTGGATCGCTTGGCATGTTTGTTATGGACATTGGAACCTCATCATGATTGCTTTCCATTACTACAAAGCCGCTAACACCTCTCCTGGGTATCCCCCTACAGTAAGATATCAGCTACAGTTTTTTTGTACTTTAAACTGGAAATTTTGTATTAAAAAAAATAAATAAAACAAAACAAACTTTTATTTTGTCATAGGAAAAACATGATGGTCCAGTTGTATCAGTCTGCAAAAAGTGCATTATTCCTAAACCAGCAAGAACACACCACTGTGGGATCTGTAACAGGTGAGTTTTTATCTGTTTTATTATATGTTTATAAGTATCAGGTGTTTGAATGTCAAAGCTAAAGTATGTTGGTGGATACAAGACCTTATTTTGTGGCTACATCAAATCGCAACATTCAAAATTAAGATGTTTTCATTGACAGTTGACTTCTTGTATCTCTAGGTTAGTTTTTCTAGTATTGCTATCTTCATTCCATAAAATCTTATCATGCTTTAAGTCTTCCCAGACTATTATTTTGCAGTTTGAGATATGATTAGAATACATTCCCTTAAAAAAAAATCACACAACTAAAATACCAATTATCAAACTAATGTTTTTCTCTTGCTTTTGCAGATGCATTTTGAAAATGGACCATCATTGTCGTATCCTTTGTGCTGAATTTATTCCAGCTGATTATTTCAGAAGGACGTCAGAAAATGTATATGTTTATAGAGAGAGATGGACATAATTTTCCTTAATGTCAGCACCTCAGCCTGGTTGAATAACTGTGTGGGCCATTTTAATCACCGTTACTTCTTCTCCTTCTGTCTCTTCATGACCTTGGGCTGTGTATACTGTAGCATCAGTGGGAGAAACCTGTTCCTAGATGCATACAATGCACTCGAGGTGAGATAGTCGGGCTGTTGCTGCCTGTAGGTCTGCTGGTGTTTTGTTGTAGTTAGATTTGTTTTAAAGCCTCCATGTCTGGTGTCTTTCTCTTTGGGGCCTTCGCATTTCTTTATTGACTCTGCTTTTTTCTGTCTTTAATGCTTGGGTTTGTGGGCTGTTCCATTAGCACTTCAAACATTTGGAATTGGAAAAGCCTGGAATACCGGTAACAGGGATGGGACTGCTTATAGGGCTTCTTCCTTCTGGCCAGGTAGCGCTTCAAAAGCCAACACACAGCATTATTAAGTTTATTTATTTATTTTTTTTCAGTTACTTATCTTTTTTTGTTTGTTTTTTGTTTTGGAAAGACCCACTATCAGACCCCTGCTCCTCCATACACATTTAAGGATAAGATGATCCATAAGAGCATCATCTACATGTGGGTCCTCACCAGGTAAAAAGTGCATTTTATGTTGCTTTTTCACACATACATGTAAGAAAAACTTTAATAACTGACTTACAAGGATTTCTGATTTCTCCAATCACCTGCAAAATTCGCTAAATTGCAATGCACTTGGATGTTCCACAACACGTCTAAGACACCGATCTGTGTTTTATGGGTTGACAAAAAAGCACTAAGCATGGTGGAGTTAGCATCATGGTTTGGAGCTGCTTTGTTAGGACCCAGACTGAGAATCCAAAACTGTGGCAAGAAACCTTTTCTGGAGAATGTCAGGACAGAAGCCTGACGCTTAGGAGAGGTTGGATAGTGACAACAAGCAAGTACACATGTAAATAAAAAATAAACAACAGAACAGTTGAGGAAAAAAAAACCCCTGAGTGACAGTTAAAGACCTTAACCAGTTGGGATGGTGGCCTGGCTGTCCAGTTAAGACATGCAGAAATATTTACTGGTCAAACGTTGTTGTCAGTTTTTGCTAAAGTCTGATTGAAGTGCTAACTTAAAAGGGTTATCCAGCCTGGACTATGGCTTCTTCCTCAACAAAGGCATTAAAATGAGAGTTTTTCAGTCAAGTAATAGATTATATTTGTAATTGTGACATATTTGAATACATAATTTTAATAATCCATTCAGAAATCCTGGTAATTTCAAGGGGGTCACAAACTCTTCCTTTTGAGCATTGAGCTAATGGATATTATTTAAAGATAATTAGAAAGAAATATATAAAAAAATCTAACCATTGCTTTAGGAAGATAGCAGGAGAGAAAAAAAGAAAGTATTATCGGTCGAAGGATTCTGGGTATGTAATCTCACACTCGTTTTACTTCTTACTTCTTGTTCAAAGCAGTAGGGTATAAAGGTAGAGTTGAATCAAAACAGGATTGTTGTCTTTGTCATCCATGCAGAAGATAAAGTGAATTGTGCTTTGTTGTAACAGCACAGTGGGAGTGGCACTGGGAGCTTTGACCTTCTGGCATGCAGTTCTCATCTCCAGAGGAGAGACGAGTATTGAAAGACATATCAACAGCAAAGAAACAAAGCGGATGGCCAAATGGGGAAAGGTAGCCATGAACCTAAATAAAATGTGAAGGTTATGTTGTGATAAGACATAGGAGACTTCAAATCCTCAAAATATATATTTTTTCCTTTGGTTAAAGTGACGTTGGTCATTTGTAACATGTTCCTGTTCTTTTGTTTTTCCGTCAGGTTTACAGAAACCCCTTTAACTACAGCAGGTTGAATAACTGGAAAATCTTCTTAGGTGTGGAGAAGAGAAGGTTTGTCTCTCTCCCTCTCAGATTTCTGTTTTCTAAGAAACAGAAATCTGTTTTGTTTTCTGCACCTTATGTGACTAATGTTACCTTGTGCTTCTTGTAATTTCTGCTTTTGTTTTTGTCTTTTGGTTTTAGTCACTGGGTGACGCGTGTTCTCCTTCCCTCTGCTCACCCCCCACATGGTGATGGCTTGACGTGGGCTGTCTTCCCAGTTAAAAAGGATTTGATACCTGTATGACAGACTCTTCTAAGGCATACCTACTTGTCTAATTTACCAGTCTTTTCTCTGTCAACCTACTTGATGGGGTTTGCTTAAAGGATTCCTGCTTGGTGGCTACACCTAAATGAAAGGATTTACGTCACTCTCCAATACCTCAAAAACTTGCTGTTGCATTGCTCTTGCTTCTGCAGTCTATATTGGTCAACAAGGCAATGTGTCACAGTTTGTTCTGTACTGGTTTTACTTGACTCTGAGCATGAGTTTGATAGTTTTATAAGCCAAATATACTGACTGAACTGTTAAATGATTTTTTTTAAGCAAACCATCTCAGCTTTGACCTGAGCTGTTTTTTATTTAAAGAAAAAAAAAGAAGTAGCAGAAGAAAAATACTAAGGTCACGGACACATCGGGTTTATCTCGGCACCTCCGCCTGTCTTGTTTGCACACCCTAGTGTGATATTATCATTTGATTTGAACACTCACGGGGAATTGCAGTACCATTATGATGTTATTTATCTGAATTTTGTACGTATTAAGTTAATCTTTACAACATTAAATAAATTCTACATTGTTAATATTGTGTTTTTAAGGGGTACAGTCACTGTTTTATAACATTATACAGTAAATACTTAGCTGTGGATATATATCAACATACATGTCAGCAATATATTGAGAGGTTTTTTTTGGGTTTTTTTGCCTTTTGTATATTTTGCTTTAGGGTCACTTCCTAACTGCAGCTCTGGGGTTATGTCACAGTGTTACGCAGAGGGATGCAGCGTGAAGGGGTGGATTATTTGGAAATGCTGGCCAGATTTGAGCTGCAGATTCATATGAAACCTATTACATCACAAATAAGCACACACTGCAGTTGAGATCCGTCAAGATTTGAGCAAATAAACAAGTCTAAATAAACAAGATAGTGATAATGAAACAGTCTGTTTATGGAAAACATTATAGTTAGAAATAAGTAAATATTAAACATTTTGTGATTCATGCATTTGCTTGGTAAAATGAAAACAGTGCTGGTGTCGTCAGTTATGGGGCGGGGGGTGTAAAATAAAGGCTGGCAGATAAAGAGAGCAGAGATTAAGCAGATTTCATCCTGATTGTAACCCGCGTTCACCCTGCTACTGCAAATCGCACCCGCCCACTCACTGAAACACACACAAACACACCTGTCAATACACAGTCTCCCAGCAGATGTCAGCGTTTAACACGTGAAATATGGGCTTTGGACTATTCATTGTTTAAAAGATCTGAATAATTGATAGTAAAGAGAAAGAAAAATCATTTTTTTAAAATTATTATTTATTTATTTCTGTAACAAGTGATAATGTGAACTGCTGAGAGAAATTACTGAGCTAGATTTATGATGGCTGTGGGCCGAGCTTAGCATTGCATGTATGGTACAAATTAGTTGTGGGCAGTTTTGACAGCTGCATATGCGACCAAATGTGTTTTTGTGAAGGTCAAAACAAGGTGAGGGAGATCGTGAGATGAGCGACTTACATAATCTTTTAGCCCTCAGAGAACTGGATGCTCAGTTCTATGTACTCAGTATTCAGGAATTATATGTCATGCCACTGTGGGAGACTGAACCTTGTCCAAAACAAAACACTGATGCATCTCACCTCATCAGACACGTCAGGTTATTTATATTAGGTGTTTTACACTTTCTTGTGTACACTCTAAATAAACTAACGGATAAGCTGTGCTTTTTGTGCCAGGACTAAATTTGGCATGGATTACCATGTGCCTAGACAAGGACTTTTTGGGCATAGGAACACTAGACAGCCACCTATGGTGTCACCAGCTGGTGAGGTGCAAAAATGGAGTAAAAGCTATTTTTTCATTGCTTCTGATTAACTTTTAAAAGCTATAGCTTGTTAACACTGCTCACCATGAAATAAACCACCGATACTATAGGAAACTCTGGAGCAGGCTGACATTTTTAAAGCTTTTGTGACCCCTGTGATTCACTTGGGCGCACTGCTAAGAAAAACAGGTTGGGGATGTTGTCTGCAAATGTTAGCTCACATCACAACTTGTAACAGAGATGCCTTTATATTTGTGCAGGTGTGTCGCACAGGTGTGGGTTGATGGGAGTCGGTTGGTTGTAGAATGATGTTCACGCCCTGAAACTGTCACTGATGTCCTCGTATAGCAAATTTAGATATTTCAATGTGGACAGTCTGTGTGCTGTCACCTAAATATAGGCAAAAAAATTAAGATGCGAGAGGTCTACACACAACTGTCTGTGAGTGGTTCATTTTAAAATTCAATTCAATTTTATTTACACAGCGCCAAATCACAACAACAGTCCCCAATTGTAAAGGTTAGAAAACGCAAGAATGTTACACACATTTACACATTTTATGCATTCATCCATAGTTATTCATAACTACTAATTACTCAACACAAATACAGGATTAGTCAGGACTTATTCCCAGTTTGTGGACACCTTAGTCAGATGAGCTGTCCCACACTGATTTAGTGTTTCACACTTTGTTAGGCAACATGTTACTCAGATTCAGTGTTGTGGAGGGGAGCACCCACACACCAAAATAGACTGAACAGGCTGTAAATTTCAGAAGCTTGATTAGTTTTACTTCTGAAAATTTTGTTGAAATAGCATATTTGTATGTGACACATTGTGCACTTTCATGTAGCTGAAACTGTAGATAGATGAGTAACAGTTGTGCCAGTGGTGTTTTTCTTAAATTAACTAAAACTGCAGTTGTTTGTACTAGAAATGTCACGTTTTATGGAGACCACAGTATAGCATCAATTAACCTAAGAATCATAAATAAAACTTCCGCCATTCATTTCAGAATAAAACCCCAGTTGAAAAATGTAACAATATATTGTGCAATAACCCAATAAATTCATTTTAAAGGTTTTGTCTTTGACAGGACTTATTTTAGAGACATTTTTCTGTCGTTTCAAACTCTAAATGGTGGTTAAAAGACGGCTAAATTACGTTTCAGCCACGCTATTATCCCGAAGGAGCGGTTTAGCAGTTTCCTGTCTTGTTCTGACGCGACCGCTCTAAGTTACGCATGCGTACAGACTGCAAGGCTTTAATTCTGGATCAGTGTGGACGGATTGTGTTGGTAGGCTGTGTACATTATGATTTGGAGGAAATGTGGATACTGATCTCATATTTTTGGAGAAGCGGCTGAGATTTACTAAAGGCTCTGCAGAGGCCACCTGGACACATCGCCTCTGCACAGACACACTGGGTCTGTGCCTGTCCTCCTACTTGGCTGATCACCTCTTCTGCTGATCGTCGCGTGAGGCTCTAACTTCACCTGAAGTTCGGATGTGGCAGGCAAACTGCAGACGAATGCATAATCTAGCAGACTGGATTTCCGGTATGTAAAATAAATATATGCATTGATTTGGATTCATTAAAAAAAAATGTAAGAGTGCAAAAACACAACTCTGGACGCGTGCGTGGGAAATAATCAGCTGGCATTAGCTTCAGGCGCGTGTCCCCGTCAGCTGGCGGTACACGTGACGTAAACACATCAGCTCGTCTGACCTCATAAGAACAAGGCGTGCTGAGCTGTCATTCCCTGATGGTGCTTTTCATATAAGGCACTTAATTTCACATCATTACCAACAGTTTATTTATGTGACATTATTGCACGTTCATTTCAAAGCGTTTATATTCGAAAATATGTAAAATATGACAGATTTCTCCTTGATCTGAAATGTAGGGACAGTGATGGGAGGCTGTGTGGGGAGGAGTAGGATGGATGGACAAGGGAGTGCCCGAAACTCGACAAGGAGCAAAAAACGCGGAGGTAAGAAGCTGGACATTGGCTTCGCAGATGTTGAAATAAGTGCAGCTTCATACTTAGGACATCATGTCCGCAAAGCACAAACCAGTAATGGCTTTCTCTACATCTTTGCTGACTTGCAGTTTGTGGTGATGTAACTCTTGAGCTTGAGAGACCCTTCTAATATTCCTCCTTGACCAGCACTTTTGTATTAAATTATTATTTTCCAATATTACCATCGCGGTAGGGAGATTACTGTATAGTGATGTATTTAAGCACATCAGTTAAACACTACATAATAATGGGACTTACTGTCATTGAATTCAACCAATACAACGAGACACTTTCTGCATTTTTATTTACACTTGCATATACATTCATGTAGCACCTGCCAGGTGTTGCATCCTAGCTACGCCTTTGTTATTCTGAATACTTATAGTTTCAGGTGTTAAATGTGTTGTGGCTTAGTCATGTATCTAATCTGGGTTTAAGGACCTGGCCTGATAGGACAGATTATATAAACACTGTTCAATCCATTCACAGAGCCTGTGTGCTGTGTGCTGCGCTAGACTGCCATTCATTATGCATTGAGCAGCAGCAGGAGCCTCCACAGAGAGTTTTTCAATCAGAGATTGACCTACTTGGTACATGATGTGCTTTATGTGCAAAACACATTCATATGCAGAAGGAAATACATTACCTGCAAGACAGGCATGACCTCTTAGACATTTAGATCACCATCATAAGCTCAGACCTCACAGTTTGGTGAAATTCAATGAACTGCCTCATTGTCGGTTGTGAGAAAGTAGCATCGTATTTCTATAATTATCACAGCCTTAGTAAAGAAAAAGAATCGCCTGTTCAGGACATTTCCTCGAAGTAGACATTGGCTTTCCTTTGAATCAGACTGTAATTGTCTGACAACGGTTTATTGTGTGCTAATAGGTTTAGCACTTTGCCTCTGAGTATTTTTATCCCAGCTCTAAATAGAGCTGATAGGATTAGGGCTCTTGTGTAAAGACGCCACCTTCTGCCAAGGACACTCAACATGCTCTCCTCCTATATTCTACCTGTTTCCATGAATTGATTCAAAGTTATTTTGGGGTTGTGATGTGTTTGTTAGTAGAAGGGGATAAAAGTGGTAGGGGAGCAGTCATTTTTCAGCAACTGGGGAAATGTAACAATGATTAGCAGAGCTGTGAATCTTAGTCTGCGCAGCTTGGTGAACTAGATCAGGCATTTGTTTCTTCAAGCTGGTCCGACCGAGCGGAGACTGTCCTCTTCCTCGGGATCGTTCACTGTAGCTCATCGTTAAGGACTTTTGATGTACAGCAGTTTGGCGTATATCAAACCTCAGAGACAGAAGAGCAATGGGAGTACCAAACTCAAGGGAATACAATTACTATCAGGTTCCAAATTCCCCTTTGAAGATTTTGCTTAAAAGTAAGTATAGATTTTTGTCAGGGGTGGAAAAAGTTACTCTGGGTGCAATAAAATGCCCCAGAGGGGTATGTGTTGTAGTCTTTACTAATGTTTTTGCTGTTATAATGCCATTATGTAGTGGTAATTGGTGAATAAGCATTTGAAGCGCAGCTGAAAAACTGATTTACAATAACAAATAAAAATCAAATTGTATCTTCAGCGCTGCCTTTGACTTTAATACTTTCATGATGATCCATTAAAGCCTGCTTTAATGGATCATCATTTTATTAGTTAAAACATTTAAGGTGTAAAAGCTGCAAAGCTTTTGCACCTTAAGTGTATCTTAAATGTATGAAGACTTTGTTGATAATTTTTTTACTTGCACAGATGTTGACATATCTGACTTTGTGTATTTTTCTATTATCTATTATACAGTTATTATGAACTTACTAATACATGCACATTTTACAGTAGGTAGATACAACACTGCTCACAGATTCTGCTTATAGTGGTTGTTTAAAATGGTATATAAAATCATACTGCATAATCAGCAGGTCTACATTAGACCTTTTAATCTCATTCCTGTTATTGCAGAGATTTACTTGTACTATATATATATATTTTTTTTACTTCCACCTGCACATTTTTAGCTCAGGAAAGTCAAACTTGCTCACTCGCTTCAGTTTAAAGTGCTAATCTTTCCAGGGAGCTAGTCTTACAGCTAAAGGACATGCTGTCAAATCTGATCTCCCTCTACGCAAACACTAACACTGACAAACTGAGTGCAGCAGCGAGGTGGATGAAACATTTTTATATTTTGCAGGTCGTCATCACTAAGCACTGATTGCATCTGCTTCAATCTAGTAAACACAACCAAAGCAAAAATGCTTGTACATACTGTTATGTAACAAAATGTACAACCAGGAAATAAAATCTGGCATGTTTTGTTCTGCACTCTCATTCTGAAAGTCTTAGACTTGCACAATCCCAAAACTGTCACTGTGTATTTTCCCATGTCTGCTGGCAGGGTCACTTGTTAGGATTCCAGACAAACAATCTAATTTGCATTTGTTTGGCCGGCATGTTAATTTAGTTTTGCATGTGTGTCTGGCTGCATAATCAACATTACACGGGCTAAAAATAAATGTTTTTGTAAGAGAAGTAAAAGCAAAGAATATTATTATTATAATAAAGCTGCAAACACTGGAAAAGGGTGGCATAGTTTTATATAGCCGTCTCTAGATTTTAGGGGTATTCTGCTCATGGGTTTAGAAGTGTGGGACAGTTCCAGTTTGCACATAATTTTTAATGCATAAAGTGTAAATTATAAATAATATAAATGTCATACTTCTGCGTGAAAGCTCAGCCTGAAAGTTTGATATAAATGAACTTGCAAACCTTTAACATTCAGCAGATGTGCTCAGGCTGGACATGTCTGTTTAATTCAATCCAAAGTGTAATGTGTGAGGAATATAAATCACATGAGACAGAATAAAGTAAGCAACTTAAATGTAAACATTTTAAATGAGTAAAAAACAGTAATAAATGGCAGAATAACTTAATGAGAAGTTCAAAAGAATACATTTAATATAACCATATGTGCTCATTTTGTTATCTGTCTTTAGGATTAAGGTGTCTATGTACAAATTTAATTCAACCAGACAAATTTTGGGGGAATTCACCAACTGAAATGAGCAAATTTGTCATATAACTCAAAAGCATAATTTTACATTGGAATTTAGTAACAATGTTTTGAGGCCTTTTGTACTGTGTTGTCAGTGTTATAATATTTCAGCTGGTTTCTAGATCAGTGCCACAGAAGATGTCTTTAATATCTATGTCTATAGGGATGTGTATCATTGCTAAATGTTATTCAAGATTTAATAAAGGCATCCTTTGATCTTGTTGGAAAATCAGATTTGAAAGAGACAAAACCACGCTTTGCAGCAGTTTGTAAACACTCCGTAATTCGATAAAGTGACAGCGTAATTGAGTTGTAGTGGCTTTGTGTTTGTATTTATGCGTGCGTGCAGTGGCAGATCTGTGTCTGTTGGCTGCCTTTCATTGGCTAAAGGGTTGTCATCGTCCTATCCAATGCCTTAAGGGATAGGCACAGATAAATCCTGTTATGTGGGACCTGCTTACTGCCTATAATCCACTGGTGTTTGCTTGTGAGTGAGCGCCTGTCCGTGCGCATGTGTGTATTACTGGCCACTGCAGTAATCCACAGCACTATAAATAATCACTTTGATTTTCCTCTCTCTGTGAAGCAAATTGACTTTTTGGTACACCAGTACAGCAGCTATACCCCAATAGCTAGCAAAGAAACACCTGCAGTAGGTGTACAAAATACTGCTGCTGGAGCTCTGATTTAAAGAAAACAAAAGAAAAAGACAAAAAAAGCGCATTTTGGTTACTGGCTATAGTCAGCCTATGCAGAAACTGCTAAATATCACACATAGTGATTGTGTGTGTGCGTACAAGGTATTAAGATGAGCTTTTTGTCCCTTTTTGTGTTTACATGACTCAAACCAAGAACATTTAATGCATTCAGTGCATTTATACCCAAATTCTTTTAAGGACACTTCACATCAGAGTAAAACAAAAATATTTCCTGACCTTGGCTGCCTGATGTAATAGTACAGAGCTCAGGCGTTTTTTTGGAGCAGTGACTACCTTATCCACTTTAGTAGACATCTACGTAATAAGTAGTTTACTACCAGATACCTGGATTCGCACCATGTAATCTCTTTATTATGTAATTAGAATAAATTAGCAACAAAGTTTTTTTTGTTGTTTGTTTTTTTGCTTTTTATAAACTAGAAGTTGTTTTCAAAAGCGTAGCCCGGATTATTTCTGGGTCACAGTCTCTTGGTCATTTCTTAGAGCAGTCTGTAAAATTAGATTAAACACCTCTTTTTTTTTACCCCTCCCTCTCTTTTTGTTAAGGACGCAATGAGCCTCTAAAGAAAGAGCGTCCAAAATGGAAGAGTGAGTACCCGATGACTGAGGGCCAGCTCAGGAGCAAGAGGGATGAATTTTGGGATACAGCTCCGGCCTTTGATGGACGCAAGGAAATCTGGGACGCACTCAGAGCAGCAGCCCTGGCTGCAGAGTGCAATGACCTGGAGCTAGCGCAGGCTATCGTGGATGGTGCCTGCATTACATTACCACATGGTATGCAAACACACATACACAAAATCCCCTTTGAGATATGAAAGCATCATTTGGCTATAAATTATACGCTGTAAGTGGACTGGACCTCCCAGTGCAAATGCAGAGCTCACTGTAATCATTTTTAAAAGTCAAAGTCAAAGAACAGTTTGCTGAATCCCATCCATCAACTGTGCAGAGATTACTGTTGTAGTAGTTACATAATAGTCGCAGTACTGCATGACCGCTGTGAGTGGTCTGATGCACTGAAAGCCCTGATGGCGTTAGCTGGGGAAAAAAAAAAAAGCAGTCCTCACATAGTCTTCTCACATGCTCATCTGCTTTTAACTGCTACTATTGGAAGAAAACTGATGCTCAGACAGGATTTGTTAACAGTTGAAATGAAGGGACAAGTGTAGCTCAAGGTTAAAGTTGTGTATATTGTGGAGAGGGATAAGGGTTTTTTTTAACTGGTTGTTTATCTGGGTTATTTCTCTTCTGCAGGCTCTCTCACAGAGTGTTACGATGAGCTGGGCAACCGCTATCAGCTCCCAGCGTACACATTAGCCCCGCCTGTCAACCTCATCACTGAAACATCCAGCGACAGCAAGGTTTCCGAATCGACGCAAAAACAATCTCAGCCCTCTCCGAGCAGAGAAGAGTTCCAGCTGCGGGTGCGATTATCAACTGGTAAGACTTGGAATTATGCATCTGTATATCTCTAAAAGTCACGTTATGCATGGATTGTTGGAAATGAGATTTTTTTTTACCTGGATAAAAAGATCTGTGTCAACTCTACTTCTCCCTTAGGAAAGGATGTGCGTCTCACAGCCAGCATGGCAGACACCATCGCTGAGCTAAAGAAGTTACTAGAAGAACAGGAAGAAATTGATGTGTCCCGCCAGAGGTGGTTCTTTTCCGGGAAGCTTCTGACCGACAAGACTCGCCTGCAAGATACTAAAATCCAAAAGGAATTTGTCGTCCAAGTGATTGTCAATATAAATCCCTCAGTCATAACTAACTGAGGCAAACGAAGCAAGGTGAAGAAAAGATCATGAATGTGCCAGAGGTGGGCTGCTGGAACTGGAGTTGGTGACATTACTGTCCAGTTAATTCTGCGGTGGAATTTTGTGTACATTTTTATATAAAAATATATTGCTTTTTGTATTGCTCCTTTTTCTATTTTTCCTTTTTCCAAATGGGGAAAAAAAAGCACTGAAACACTTTAGGTGAAAAGTAGAGCCCTAAGATGCACATCCCAGTGTCCGTCTATTTGTGAAGCCATGAACTCACAGCTTTGTTGTTTACATGGGTTTCCCTTCTTGTCATGTTTGTTTGTTCTGGTGCTTATGAATAAATTAAATATGGTTCACCTCAGAATCTAGACAAAAATCTTTCTTTCTAACTCTCTTTTACTATCATGTGTTTAGGTAGTAGAAACGTTCACTGTATGTTGTTTGCTCATGTGCACACTGTTTTCATTTCACTACTGTACATTCATGGTAAAGACAGGGAATGTAATGAAGGCACCTTTTTTTAAAAGGGAATAAGTGATGACCAGACTTGCTTTTTTAATTTTATCACTATGAACAAGAAGGTGTAGTTTGATGTACAAATATGATGCTCACTGTACTTGAATAACTTAATAAATATTATAAATTTAAAGGTGTTCTTTTCATTTATTTATTGGCACCAAGATCTGCAATTGGAACTGGATGTTCCCAATAAGGGTTGGACCTCCTTTTGCTGATGAAAATCTCTGTTAACTCGCTGTCACTGTGGTCATAATATGGTTAACAACAATACTGAGGTAGGCGCTGACATTTAAATGATGCTCAGTTGGTACTAAGGGGCCCAAAGTGTGCAAAGAAAATATCCCCCACATCATTACACGACCAGCAGCAGCCTGAATCATTGATACAAGGCAGGGTGGATCCATGCTTTTGTGTTGTTTACGCTAAATTCTGGCCCTACCACTTGAATAACACAGTAGCAACCGAGACTCATCAAGCCATGCAGCATTTCTATAATCTTTGATCGTGCACATTTGGTAAGCCCCTGTGACTGTTCTTACATCGCAGGATTGTCAAAAGCTGGTCTTCTGCTGTTGTAGCCAATCTCTATGTTGTACCTTCAGAGATGCTCTTCTGCATACATTATCTGAGTTATGTTACCTTCATGTCCTCCATTCTCCCCTGATCTCTGGCATCAACAAGACATTTTTTCTCACTAGATTTTCTTTTTCTCAGGCCATCATCTGTAAGACAGATGTTTGTGTGAGGAAAATCCCAGCAGATCAGCAGTTTCTGAAATACTCATTCCAGCCTATCTGACACCAAGAACCATGCCACCTTCAAAGTCACTTAAATCTCCTTTCATCCCCTTTCTGATGCTTGGTTTAAACTTCAGCAGGTCATCATGACCATGTCTACATGCCTAAATACACTGAGTTGCTGCCATGTGATTGGCTGATAAGATGTTTGTGATAAAGCAGTTGAAAATGTGTACCTAAAATGGCAGATGGGTGTAATGACTGGTTGTATCATCGTTCTCTTTATATGGTTTTATATGCCACACCTGACAAAGCTATACTTAAATTAAGGTCACGGGTTTCCTTTATCTGCAGAAGAGGTCATATCTCTCTTTAGACGATGGCAGTCAGGGTAGTTGCAGTCATGGACCGTATGCTCATGTTATTCACGCTGTCTGTGGTGGACAGCGCCATCTTCAGGAAACATAACTTGTGACACGTGAGCAAAGCTGTGACGTAGTTTGGTAGGCGACAGAATCGGGCACAGTTGGTGGTGTAACGTGATTATTTTCAGTCCCGAAAATGGTGAAATCGGGGAAACTTCGCTCTGGGACGGCGTCGAAGCTCAAACGGTGGAAAAAAGGACACAGCAGCGACTCTAACCCGCAGACGAGTCGCTTTCGTCAGGCTGCTAAAAGCCGCTTCTTCAGCCGACCCACCGGTAAGCGTTCCCTCTACACGTGGGTCTCCGGCTAGCGTTAGCCATTTAATCTTTCTAGGTTTTGATACAATCAGCAGCCACATTCAAGCTGCTGGCAGAAACTTTAACGTCATATCGCCACATCTATGTTTTTTTTGTCAGGTTAAATAACTTGTATGTCAGTTTAGTTTTAGAGCAACAGCTACTTGTGTGTTTGGAGCTCAAAGTCCAAGCTATCATCTTTAGTTGTGTAAAAGTACCTGCCCTGCAACTATTAAGCCTAGAAAAGATGTGCTTTACAATAAATGTGCAAAGTTTGTCAGTAAACGCAAAGGTGGTTGTTTTGGCTCTGTAGTCAGCTGATTGTATGAGCAACAGCATGTTTAGGTTTGAACATCCAGCTGTGATTTGAGAGTATTTACATCAGCACACTGGGTGAAGCGTGCACAAGTGACTCCCCTTTACTTATCTGGTCTGCTTAATTATGAGAGTCCAAAGTAAGTAAAGAATAGTGTAGCAAAAGTTAGGATGGTTATCGGTAAGATATTGTTGTCATCAGTGGTGATCTAAGCTAAGACTGTCAATTCACTTTATTGATTCCTGCTCAGTTTTTTTCCTAAGACTAAAAGGTTGGCCTGTACATATTTTCAGCATCAGCTGTTTTATTATTGAGTCTGAACATATTGTAGAAACAAAATAGGAAAACTGGTTGCATCGGACTAAGGTGTGCAAAGGCTCCAATGTTTTGGGAGTGTCTTTACTGTTTTGAAAATGTCTGAAAAAGCATGCATGCATGGAAAATTAGATGATAGGTTTGGTGGCATGCAACTATGGTTGATTTGGTAGTGGTTCACAGTTAGCATGCCTAAATAAAAAGCAGCTTGGAAAGGTTAATTGATTTTTTTTTTTTCCTCCAAGTCAACCACATGCTTGTGCAGATGAGGTTAGGTAGTTCATCATTCAAAGGGAAAAACTAAAGGTCGCGCTTTCTTGCACATCTGTCTCCATGTCTAATTTGGGGTCAGAATTTGGTGTAATAAGGTTTTAGAATTCAGTTTTTGTTTTTCGTTTTAACCCCACAGGAAAGAGTGATCTCACAATCGATGCTCTCAAGCTTCACAATGAGCTGCAGGCCGGTCCGCTGGAGATCGGCACTCGTAAAGATGCCGCCATGGAAGAAGAGCCAGAAGAGGCTGTATCACAAAGAAGTTCGGGTACCTTCCTCAGTGGCCTGTCGGACTGCTCCAACCTTACCTTTAGAAAGGTGCAGCGCTTCTGGGAGTCTAATTCAGCTGCACACAAAGAGGTGGGCATCACTTTTATGATGGACCATTTATTGATAACATTTTAGTTTGTGTGCTGTTTATATTGTGAGCAAAGCTGGACAGTGAGCTTCCCTGCAGCTCTAACTTTGTCTTCTACAGATCTGTGCAGTGTTGGCAGCCGTTACTGAAGTGATCCGCAGTCAAGGTGGGAAGGAGACTGAAACAGAGTACTTTGCTGCTTTGGTGAGTGCTTTTTTTAAAATATTCTTTTAGATTTTATGGTGTGGTTTGATCAGAAGGCAACGTAAATCTAGGTTTTGTTTCTCAAAATCCACTAAATCTTATTTTCCTCTAAGATGACCACGCTGGAGGTTGTGGATACAGCAGAATCCCAGGCTGCAGTGGCATACCTCCTCAACCTTGTCATGAAACGGTAGGACCTAAATACTCAAATATTACTCCACTAAGCAGCACTGTTTCCTCACAATAAGAAGTTTCCTGGTTTGAACCCTGGCTTGGGACTTTTTCTCTCTCTCTGAGTTTGCACGGTCTCTCAACCGTGGGTTTACTCAGGCTTCTTCTCACAGTTCAGACACATGCGTGTTAGGTTAACTGATAATATTCTCCAACCGCCATCGACAGAAAGTAGAGAAAGTCCTTAAAGTGTTAAGATATATAAGCGTGGCTTATAATGTCCACAATAAATTCAACTGGTGTGTTGCATTTTTCCATCTGCTTGACGTGTTGCATTCCTTAGGGTTCCTGCTCCGGTCCTCAAGTCGAAGTTTTCCGACACCACCAAGGCTCTGATGGATGTCATGTCCAAACAGGCCACATGTGACACTACCTCGGCACTCAGATGGGTAAGTGGGCTTGTTTCTGTGTCTGTTTGGCTCTTCTTTTGACAACTGCAGCAATACTTAGCTTTGTTATTTTTCTCCTCTGCAGATACTGTCATGTCTGGCCACTCTGTTGAGGAAGCAGGACGCATCTGTGTGGACTTACCCATCTACTCTCCAGGCTTACCATGGCCTTCTCAGCTTCACAGTGCACAACAAGCCTAAGGCGAGTCCCACCAGCCTGCTCGTAACTGCTCAGCCACACTAAACAGATGCTTTCAGTCTGTCTTGGATTTACTGCTCATCAGCTGTATTAAACATTCAGTGAAATACTAAAAGTGAGGACATTTGTGCCATTGAATTTTTTTCCTTTCAGGTCCGTAAAGCAGCACAGCAAGGTGTTTGCTCCATTCTTAGAGGCAGTGACTTCCTGTTTACAGAAAATGCTCCAGCCCATCATCCTGCTGCAGTTACCACAGCCAAATTCTGCATAAAAGAAATGGAGCAAGCAGGAGGTGAGACAACAGGTTTATTAGGACCACAGGTTGTTCTCTATATGATGAAGGTTTGTGCGACTCTATGGCTGTCCAGCAGGTTGTGGGTAATGTCTGTGTTTTTCCCCATAGGCAGTAAAGAGGACACAACCACACTCCATGTGCTTGGCCTTTTGAAGGAGCTGATGGGGACGTTTCCTCTGGGAGCTGTCAAGTCCTGTTGTGAGACTCTGCTGCGAGTGATGACACTCAGCCATGTGGTGAGAACACAAAAATATTCATAGGTGCTGCCAGATCCCCCTTGTTCATCATCGTGGATACTCAGATATAGCTGTCGATGTCTCTGACTGTAGTTGGTGACCGCTAGTGCCATGCAGGCCTTTCATCAGCTGTTCAGTGGGAAGCCCAATGCTTCGACGCTCTCACCAGAACTCAACGCACAGATCATCACTGTGAGTGAACATAAACCAAACAAGATTTTTAAAGTTAGATTTTTAGTTATGATGCAAAGCTTGGTGTGAAAACTCAATTGTCATCTCTTATCTCCAGGCTCTGTACGATTACCTGCCCAGTGAGAATGATTTACAGCCTCTGCTCGCTTGGCTTGCTGTCATGGAGAAAGCGCACATTCACCTGGCGAGGTAATAAATGAAAACAGTACAACAGATTCCCATAACTGTGCATTTTCCAGTCCGACTGTTGGTCCACAACGTCCTTGTCGTCTAGTTTGCAGAGTTCTCTGAGTTTGGGTCACCTCCCTCGCCTCTTTTCTGCTGCGATGTCCTGCTTGTTGTCACCTCACACTCAGGTGGTTTCTGCAGCCACCAACACATTAAAGGTAAGGGACAATGACGATTGGTATCTTAAACAGACGATGATGTAAATGCTTGTGTGCACGCTCCCAGATGAAGATTTATTCCTGGTTATCTCTTCCAGACGTTGTTGACTGAATGTGTTGCCTCTCCTATGGAGGAAATGGGCACTGTCACTGGCACAGCATCTTCAGGGAACCCCTCCTATGTCTGCAAAATGTTTCGGTATGTTTCCTAAGTGTTAAGCATGCTAGTCTGTCTTTTTTCCTTTTTGTTCTTAGGAACTTCGTATAAATGTTCATCATTATGATTGTGGCTGTGCATGTGTGTTTCAGTATTGTAGAAGAAGGATTGTCCTATCGCTTCCATGCCTCTTGGCCATTTGTGCTGCAGATTCTGGGTTGCTTCTATCGAGTTGCAGGGAAACAAGCTAATCCCATCATGACTAAGGTATTGCCACAAAATTTTGCTGATCACTAGGCTGTCAAAGTAAGATAAGTTTGCTTAACTCCATGTTTTGTGTCCTGGACAGTCTCTGCAATCTCTGGCAGACCTGCGCTCCACCCCTCATTTTGCCTTCAGTGGAGAGTTGGACCTGGCTGTAGGAGGAGCTGTGGAGAGCATGGGGCCCGAAGTAGTGCTAGGTGCCGTGCCTCTCAACATCACTGGCTATGAGTAAGGACACAAACATAGTAGTATTCTTGATGTTTTTATTGCTTAACAAATTAACAAACTTTTTTCTTTGTCTTCAGCGATGACTTGGAGTTCCCACGCAGCTGGCTGGTCCCAGTCGTAAGAGATCATGTGAAGAACACTCATCTTAGTTTCTTCACTTCCTATTTCCTCCCTTTGGCTTCTACACTTAAACAGAGAGGTAAACAAAAAGGGGTATGGTCCTTTGGAGGGTTAGGTAGAACAAAGGTGCATTTTCTGGCTTGTGTGTACTGATAGATCGCTCTGTGTTTGTGTTGTAGCTGTAGAGTTGGAGCAAACAGGGCAAAAACTGGAGGCCAAAGTCTATGACACCTTACAGCTTCAGGTACTTTTACAAACTTCATGTAAATAAGTAAACAGAACCACTTAATGAATTATTACGATTTTTTTAGCGTGTGTTGTTTTCTTCTTTTTCTTTCTTTAGATTTGGACCATGCTTCCTGGCTTCTGTACGTGCCCTGTGGACGTGCTGACAGCTTTTAAAGGCATTGCCCGCACTCTTGGTATGGTTATTAATGAACGGCCAGACCTGAGGCTCACAGTATGCCAGGCCCTACGCACCATTATCAACAAGAGCTGCTCAACAGGTAGGAAAACACATGGTCACACAGTAAGAGAACAATATAATCCTATGTCTACTCAATTATGGAAACATTCATAACCCTCAGTATTTTGGTCAATATTAACATCGTGTTTATCCAACATGATTATTCATTAACTTTAGAAACAACATCCACTTATTGAACTTAAACTTAAATGTCTCAACAGTGGACCACCTTAAACTTTGAATATAAGTCAATAAGTCAGTTACAACAAAAATGAAATTGAAGTGAGATGCAGAGTCATAGAGGTAAGATTCAGAAAAAGACCATGAAGCCTGTCACAAAGAGCACATTTGGAGGCTAGTGCAAAGCGCTGGTGGTCAGAGCTTTCAAAATGGGAGGCCTGGAGGTTCACATGAAAAGAAAAGACAGAAGTTGATTTGTATAATTGGAAGAGAAACAGTCCCTTAATACAAGATCATCATTTCTTTATGCCCTTTATTTTGTTGTAATAATTGAAAGATAAAAAGGTATCTGGGGGTTAAATCAAGTCGGCCAACACTTGAATCTTCTAAATTTGTTCATTTACAGTGTTTTGTGTCTTTCTTTTTTTTTCCACTGCAGAAGAAGAAAAGGTAGAAGTGGGCCGCTTCTCTAAGAATTTCCTGCCCATCCTTTTCAATGTGTACAGCCAGCAGCCTGCTAGTGGAGAGTCTGGAACCTACAGGATGGCTGTGCTGGACACCATCAAAGTGTATTTGGGTATCACTGAAATGCCGGTTAGTACGGTTTATTTTTCTTGCATTCTTTCACACTAAATTTCAAGCAGTTACTGCTATATTGAACACTTTGAAGTGCTCCAGCCATTGAGAGCTGATCATGCACTATATGGTCAGAAGTACTGGGCCACCTACACTTAACACCATGCCATGAAGCTCCTGGCACACCGTTTTTGTGCTGATGTTAATGCCAGAGGTGGTTTGGATTCTTTTACAGACTATGAGCCTCAGCACTCAGTGTGCCTGCTCTGTAACCTAAATGTTTCCATTTCCAACAATGCCACTTGTAGGCATGTAATAACTTGACTTGTTGCAATGAGCTCTTTAATATGATGTGTGGCCCAGTACTTTTCATACGACATATTTCAGCGTATCTAATCTGAATTTGTACAGAAATTAATATATTTATAGGCAATCAAGGCCATCATAGGCCATATTTCTTATGCTGGTTTATCACTAATGGAAATAATAAAAAAAAATATCAACCCTCAGATGATCTGCACATTCCTGCAAAAAGCCACAGAGAGGTTGACCAGCGCAGAATCAAATGAGTTCATACGGTAAGTCATAAATGAGAATCTCTCGCTATAAACTTCTCTCCTTCTGAATCAGTGATTTATATACACTGAGCTTCATGAGCCACAGCATTAAGAAGTGAGTGACATTGGTCATCTTTTTAAAATGTAATAGTCTGCTCAAGGAACCTTGGGTCTTGTCATTCATTTGGATATTATGCAATATCCACTTAGGTATGGGTGGAAAAACCCCCCAGTGTACCTCTGATTTCACTCTCTGATGCCAGCAGTCTCCCTCAGCAGAAAATTACACAAAATCAGGAACAGCTTGAGGAACGAAGCCTCTAAACATCCCCCATTGTCTAATTGATTCTTTTTGTTTTGGCTTTATTTGCATTTTAGGCTGTCAGTGATGGATCTTGTCGTTGCTATGGCTCCCTGTGTTGATGAAGTCACCATGACTAAAACCTTTGAACTGATAAGGCCATATTTGGAGGTAAGAGCATTTGTAGTTTCTAATTTAAACCCATCAAACTTGAGTAGTATTCTTGTTAACTGTGTCTCTGTTGGTGCATTTTTTTAAAAATTGATTTATTTCTTTTTCAGACAAAAGAGCCAAGCATGCAGAAGAAGGCGTACCGTGTGCTAGAGGAGATGTGTGGAGGAGAGAGAGATGCATGTAGATCGTTTGTCATGTCCAATCTGGAAACACTCAAAGTCGTGCTGCTTGAGACTCTGAAAAACGCCTCTTCACCTGCAAAAAGGGTGAGTGTGCTGTTTTAAAGAGAAGTAAAATAAACGAGACACCCAAAGGGACTTTATATTTTGGTTTATACTGCTGTCTGATTTTTATCTTTCTGTTTGTATTGCTTTTCCACAGCCGAGACTTAAGTGTCTGAGCCACATCGTAAGAAGGTTAAATGAAGATCACAAAGACTTTATCACCACGCTGCTGCCAGAGGTATTGTCACAAACAAGTGCTGGCAAACACAGAGAGATGGACTACTGGTTTTTATCAGTTTTTATAAGGATGTTGTGTCTTTCAGGTGATCATATGTACGAAGGAGGTGTCTGTTGGTGCTCGTAAGAGTGCCTATAATCTGCTGGTGGAAATAGGAAATGCTTTTGTCCGCTTCTGTGGAAATACTAAAGGTAACATACATATATATTGTTTCTGCTAAATTTGCATGGACCCAAATCTTTCCACAAAAAAAACTTGATTGTAAAGGTTTGTAATTAGTTGCGCTTCCATCTCTGATCCAGATGCCATGGAGCAGTATTTAGTGATGGTGTATGCAGGACTCACGGGCTCCGTCACCATGATCACTTGCACAGTGTTGGCTCTCACACGCCTCGTGTTTGAGTACAAAGGTAGGCCTGCTGACTTTCAGCAATTCAGTGGTGTTGATTTCAGGGTTTAGAGTCTCGGACTGGATTCAGTGTGCTTCCTTTTCTTTCCCAGACTCTATAGAGCTGACCACCATGGAGCAGCTGCTGCAAAACATTTGTCTGCTGCTGTCGTCTCATACCAGAGAGGTAGTGAAGGCTGCCTTAGGCTTCATCAAGGTCATCCTCTTCATCATGGACCCCAAGACCCTGTCCTCGCATGTCACTGTCATGGTATGAACTGTACATTGTAGTTAATGGAGTTGCATTATTTTATTTTATTGAATATTTTGTTGTTTTTGTTCAGATGGAAGGCATTGGAAACATTAGGGATGATATGAGAAGGCACTTCAGAACAAAGCTGAAGAACATCTTCACTAAATTCATCAGAAAATTTGGGTAAAGGCACCACATTCTTATAGATGCCATCAGGGCTCTGTCAGCTAGCTCGTGGCTCTAATTGTGTGTTTTGTTTTTGTTTTTTTCCTTGCCGTGTGCTCAGTTTTGAGCTGGTGAAGAGTATGCTCCCTGCAGAGCACCACAAGGTGCTAGCAAACATCCGCAAGGCTGAGGCTCGGAACAAGAGGCGGAAACAGGCCACAGAGGAGCAGGACGACTCCGAAAGTGAGCAGGAAGCACCTAAAGCAAAGGGTGAAAGGTAGGCCGCTGTTCCCAACATAAAACCCTGCCTTTCATCATGCATTTTCCCATCTCCTTTAAAAAAACAAAAACCTTCTGCCCTTTAAGTATCGAGGAGATTCTCGCTGAGTCGGACAGTGATTTGTCAGAGGATGAAGGAAAGCCTCGCGGTGCTCAGAAGAAAGCAGGCAAACAGCAGAAAGGACGGGCTTGGCTCAAAGAGGGAGAGGAAGATGACCCACTTAACTTCCTTGATCCTAAGGTTTCGCAGAGAGTGTTAGGTAAGACCATCTGTTTTGTTTTTAATGGGTGCTTTTTGCCTGCAGTTTAATTTCTGAACAAAAGTATACTCAGTTTGTTGTCGTTTCATAGCCACAAACCCGGAGCTGAAGAAGAGTGCCAAGGCTGACCACGGCTTCAAAGTGACCTCAGATGGACGGTTGATCATTAAAGAAGATGAAGATGAGGATGTAAAGGACAAAGGTAAGTGAGATCCAGTGCTGATCCGTACATTGCTTAATGTGTGATCAGACAGTGATAACAATTTAAAAAAACCTCACAGATGGAGGCGAGATGGAGGACATCCTGGAAGAGGCTGGAGTCAAAAGTGTGAGTATTTAACCTTCAACCTACAGAGTTTGTCTTCTTTGGGACATTTCAGCACAATTTTATTTACTCTTTCCTTTCAAAACGCTCTCAGAAAAAGTCACAGAAGAGGAAGTTTAATGATGACAACTTTGATGATGAAATGGACATCGAACCCCAGTTGAAATATAAAGGTAACTTAAATTGAATTAACTTTTTTAGCAACTTAAACAAGTTGCTAAAAAAAAGTTTAAGCAATTTAAAACACGTCATACTGATTATACGTCTTCTTTTTTATGCAGCTGGAGGTTCAGGTATCCACAGACCCCTCGGACATGGCCAGGAATTTGGAGCCGATTACAAATCAAAGGTGAGTCTGAGAGCAGTAACTGGATGTGGTCCTAGTTGTGAGCTGTAGTTCGGAATGGTTATTCTTTGGTCTTGCATTCCTCAGAAAGGAAAAGGAGATGTAAAGAAAAAAGGGAAGCTTGATCCTTACGCGTACATCCCTCTGAAGAAGGCCCAGCTCAATCGCAGGTATGAGCAGCTGCTGTTACTGTGTAGATCTGTAAAACTCTGAAAGCTCTGGAGTTTAAAAATTTGGTTGGTAACATATTTTTATTTATTCTCTCAAAGGAAACGTGCCAAACTGCAGGGCCAGTTCAAGGGCATGGTGAGAGGAGCCCAGAAGGGGGCGCTGTCTGGAAAGAAAATGCAGAAGAAAAAGAGGAAAGCCTGAAAACAAAAAACAGAGTATTTTCCTCACTGGACTCTAAATGCACTGTGTGCAATGGCATGTTCATGTATATGCCAAAAGTTTGATTTACACCTAGGATTTGTGTGT